GCCAGTTTGTGTGTGTGATCAAACCACGCATCTCTCCGTGATGCGCTCTTTGGTTTTTAAGGCGCGTCTGTCTGACGTCAGCCTGGACTCCGCGCGAGTGTGTGTGTGTGTGTGTTACTCGGTGTTCATATCAAGATGAAGAAACTCACTCCTAATTAATTCCCTCCCAGTTTCCTTTCGCCTCTTATCCAAGAGAACAGCTCTGCGCAGCGATGCTCCCGAGAGTCCCCAGGCGTAAAGAGAGTTGTGATCAATTCTCCTCTCTCAATAAACACAGGCGCACAGCTGCACACGTCCACGCACGCATTTACACTGGCACACATGGCCAGAGGGGGTGGGATCGGGAACGTGATGCGTTGACACCACATTGACACGCGATGATTGATGACTACAACCTGATATTAGCATAATCGTTTTGCCCTGTTGTTTAGATAACTTGTCACCACGGAGAAATCTCGCTGTCACCCACATATTCATGAGTGGGGGAATTTCAGGTCTCCTCCAAGCAAATTAATCAAAGAATAAACATTCCATGCATTCCCTTGAGTAAGCACCTTTAGTGGCTGAATGGGTTGTCATGTTTTTAATAACAAACTCTTAAGCTGCCCCGACGAAGTGGAAACGTTTTTCCCCTTCCTCTCTCTTTCTCTCAACCCACTTTAAGGTTTTCATCATATGGGAGGAGGAAAAGGGCAGGTGTGAAAGGGCTGCGAGGATAACAGAGAGGCTTATTGTACCAAAATATGTGGGTACACATTTGTGGCACACCGGCAGAACAGAAGTTTTGTGATGTATAAGAAAGAAAAGAAGGACAGATATTAGGGACTGTATGCAAATTATTAGGATAGGACTAGGGGCAGAAAGAGTGGTGACTTTGTTTTCTGTTTTCTTCTTTTGTTTCTATAAAAGAAAATGTTGCAAATGATCATGCAGTGATATGAGACAGGCAGACATTTGATGTTGAATCTACCTTTAATAAATGCAACCAGTATAACCATCTCTGCAACTCTAGGACTTTACAGACATCACACATATAACATCTTCTTATGTAATTGATAAATGCATTTTTATTTTAAAAATTGCAGAACCTGACTAATTTATAGGCAAACAGATATTATTGGACATTTGCCAATCGACTGGTATCTGCATTTGTATCAGCCGATAAATTAAAAACGTAAAGAAGAGATGGAAGAAACACCCTTCAGCCGTGTTAGGAATAATGATGTTGAATATTCCGGCCACCAGATGACCTCTTCAACTTCCCTGTTAGCAACACGTATTTGGAACGCCTTAATCACAATAACCAGCTGACCTGAACCGAGTCGGGGTAAGTGAGTAAATGGATAACTGCACATAACAAATATTAAGGGTTTATGAGGTTTATGTTTTGTGTGTCTGAAAGAAAAGAAAAATATAATGGTGATTATATAGGATCATCAGCAACATCATCAACAAAATATAAATATATTTGCTGACATATCGGAACACTCAATTTTAAAATCGCCAAATAATAGTATCAATACCAGCCTGAAAAAATATCACTCTACCCTCCTCACATAGTCCTATATAAGAGGATAATCTTTACACAACCTTTCCAGGGATTTGTGTCCCCTCCCATTCTTGAACCAGGGATCTCTGGTGTGTTAGACAACTGTGCTAATCCATTTATCATCACATGAACGCTCAAGATTTTCACTGTGATGTACAAATTAGCATTGAACGAGTCCACAAACTGGTCAGGAAAGTGTTTGTGAAGGCTACATAACAAGATAGCTAGGTGTCACTTTCACATAGATGAATTTTGTGGTGACAGGTGTCGCCCCCTTCTGGCCATCAGAAAGAGTACAACGTAAAAGCAACTGCATTGGTTTTCAGACACAAAACTTATGTCCACTTTTTAAATACAGATTTTTACTTCTACCCACATTAACTGCTTTTAGCCAGACTGAAAATTTATAGCGACATTTTCAAGCTAGGAGATTGACATTCTCTAAAAAAAATGATTCAGTATATCACCTCGCTTAAACTGGGTCTAGAGTTCATAGCAACAATAACAGAAGCAGCGTTTCATACAAAGTTATGTCTCATTTTTACTTCCTTGTGGACGTACACATGCAGCTTTATGGTTTGCTTGGAGCTACTTTGAAGATTTGTTCTATGCATGCTGAAAATTATATCTTAGTAAATCAGGGTGAAAAATGTTGCA